GACTTCCAGTCCTAGAAAGTCACTTTCCTCCATGTTCTAGAAGCCAGGGACTTTGATCTGACCTGGATGGAGTGGCCTAGGAGATCTCAAGGCTGGAGGCTGCCTAGACTCTCACCTGCCAGGGAGACTTCTTCTTCCTCAAGTATCCCAGACTCCAGCTCCATCCATTCTTTCCTTGGGCAGATCAATTATCAAACAAGGACTTCCAGTCCTAGAAAGTCACTTTCCTCCATGTTCTAGAAGCCAGGGACTTTGATCTGACCTGGATGGAGTGGCCTAGGAGATCTCAAGGCTGGAGGCTGCCTAGACTCTCACCTGCCAGGGAGACTTCTTCTTCCTCAAGCAATTTCAAGTACAATGAGTTTACTCTTTGCATTCTTAATTGTACATGATAATGATTTAATTATCACTGGCCTTAGCCAAAGACCTGGCAGCCTTGACTTCCAGCTGAGCAAGGTGGACCTGTGCCTGAGCCTCTTTCTTTTAAGGCAGCAGTGGCCCATTACGAGGCAGCCTGGAGCCTGGCTATAAATAAATCTTCACTGGCCGTGGCCAGCTGCACTGTGGGCCACACAGAGCCTCACGAAACAGAGCAAGAGGTTCTAAACAAGCAAGATTTAATGGAACCATTTCCACAGGGCTTGGAACCCCTCAGGTTCCAGTCCCTATCACAAAAGTATTTTGGGGCTCATATTTAATAGTGAGATGAATAACTTGAAGATTAAAGTCTTCACCCATGGGTCTGGGGCGATGGCTCAGTGGATAAAGCATTTGCCACTTGAGCATGCAAACCAGAGTTTGGATACCTAGACCTCATGTAAAAGCTGGGCAGGCATGGGAGCTGCCTATAATCCCAGCACTCAGGAGGCAGAGACAGGGGATCCCCAGAGCAGGACTAACTAGCTAGACTAACTGGAACTGGTGAGCTTCAGATTCAGAGGGCCCCTGCCTCAATAAACTAAAGTGGAGTTGATAGAAAACACTCAAGGTCAACTTCAGGCCAAAGGCACATGCACACATATGCACACACACGTACACACACATGCACCCACACACATGCAAAATGCATACACACGTGCATGAAAACCACACGCATACACATGTAAAACAAAAAATATTTTGTAAAAAGTCGTCACTGAACTGGAGAGATGGCTCAGCAGTTAAAAGCACTGTCTATTCTTGCAGAGAACTCAGGTTCAGTTCCCAGCACCCACAGGGCAACTCACAACTCTCTGTAATGCTAGTCCCAGGGGATCTGATGCTCTCTTCTGGACTCTAAGGGCTCCTGCAGGTATTTGGTGCACATATATACATATAGACAAAACACTCATACACATAAAATAAAAATAAATATAAAGGAGCCGGGCTTGGTGGTGCACGCCTTTAGTCCCAGCACTCGGGAGGCAGAAGCAGGCAGATCTCTGTGAGTTCAGGGCCAGCCTGGTCTACATAGTGAGTTCCAAGAGAGCTGGGGCTACAGGAAGACCCTGTCTCACAAAGACCAAATAAATAAATAAATAAATAAATAAATAATAGGCTCCACCTTATAAAACTGTCAGCATTCCCAATACCACCAAGCTAGAAGTCACACTTGAAGTGCACAGGCCTTTAATAAATAAATAAATAAATAAATAAATAAAAAGGGAGGGGGGAGTCACTAACTATCGACCACACAGTCCTGAACCAGAAGCAAGGGGGAAAGTCTTCTCTCTCTGGAACCTCAGTTTCCCTAGTTATGGGAGGAAACTGGAAGTCAAGACTAGCCTGTGAAGGATTCACCTTGCTCTGGGTCACAGCAGCTATAGGTGTACATAGAAGGTAGGGGCTCCAGGCTTGTCACTTGCCTGACAAGTGTCCAGAAAGTGTTGTCTCAAGCAGCCAGGTGCCCACCTAAATCTGCTGCTGCCTCTTCACACCCACAAAGACCTTTAGGGAAGCCCAGGCTGAGTCAGGTTGGTTGGGGGCAGCAAAGAGCTTCCTCCAACAGGAAGGTGTGCACTGTCCAAGCACTGCAGTTTGCCTATGAGCTGGACCTTTCAGCCATTCCCTATAGAGCAGAACTTCTGGGCCTGGACACCTATCTTCTACAAGTGTGAGTTTACGTGTGGGGTCACTAGGCCCTGAGCATCAGAGGCCAGTAAGACCCTAGGAAGATGCAGATACCTGTCTGGCCCCAGGCTGGCTGCCCAAGAAGATATTTTGACTCTAACTGGGCTTCTCAGGTCTGTTCTCATCCCTCACTTGTATTTATACACTGAAGTCATCTCCGCTTCCAGGGCAGATGTCACAGTCACTGTTTGGACTCTCTGGGCCACATGGTTTGGGGATCTGGGGAAGGAAGCATTCTAGTGATGCAAACACTGCTGTCAGGCATCCCCCAGGGCTGGCGGGTCAGAGCCCCACAGCCAATACTCCTAGTCTTGGGGAACATGTGGTTTCACCTTGGGAGAAAGACAGCTTTTACAACCACTTCATCAATAGCTCAAGTTTCATTACTAGGTGCTTTCAGGTTGGATGAGGCTTTGCTGCAAGAGGCTTGGTGTGGGTCTCAGGCTCAGGTGGCCGGTGTAGGGTCCCTCTCTAAGTGGCCCAAGCTGTTTTCTTGAAGTCACTGTAGCTGGGATCCCCCCACATCTGTGCCAATAACCTGTCTGCCTTAGTGATGGTCCTGTGCACCTTCTAACACCTGCTAGGCACCTGTAGAATGAGAGGTTCAGCCTGTCCACAATGGGCCCCCACCCAGGAGGCTGTGTGATAACCAGTTCAGACATCCTTGTTCAGAACATGAGTGTAGGATTAGGATCCCCTCAGGCAGCCCTCAGCCCTGACTGACTCCAGGACCATCAGGCCAAGGCCCAGTCAGCAGCGTCCAGGCTGGGGTCCCCTGGCAAGAAAGCTATCCACTCCACTGTGAGGTCAGGCACTCTGGTACCATTGCCTTTCTGAAGTGAGTCAGACCAAAATGCAAGGCTCAAGGCTAAGCCCATGAAGATGGACAGAGGCCTCTGGGGTGGGCAGAGCTGCTTGTGAGGCCCTGGAGTCCCAGCCTCACCTGCTCTCTGAGCTCCTGGAGCAGGTACCCTGATCTCTGCAGAGCACAAATGTCAGCAAGAGTGGGAAACAGCAAGTTGCAGTGCCCACAGGGGGCTGGCCAGCATGCCAATATCCAGCCAGACCTGCCTTTGGATATATGTAAAAAATGTCAGCCTCTTTGAGGTCAGTGTAGTACATGCATCTAACTCCTGGGCTGTCAGGTCCACAGAAGTGGCAGAGCTTGTGGAAGTCACCACCAGGGCCTCCCACTTGCTAGGCAAGTGTTGTACTGCTGAGCTATACCCTTAGCTTTTTTTCACTGGAGGATTCTGGTCTAGAGCTCTACCACTGAGCCACATTCCCAGCCCCTCTTTTGGGGATCCTAGACAGATGTTCTAACACTAAGTCATACTTCCAGTCCCTTATGTGGGGATTCTAAGCAGGTGCTCTACCACTGAATAAGACCTCCAGCCCCTCACTGGAGCTACATTCCCAACCATTCTTTTACATTTTATTTTAAGACAGGGTCAATGCTAAATTGCCCAGGCTTCCCTTGAGCTTGGAATCCTCCTGTCTCAGTCTCCTGGGTATCTGGGGTGTCAGACCTACACCCCCAGGCTCAGCTTGGATATTTCTTTAGCACCATACGATGCTCCAGAAGACGGGGACATGTATTGTAGCTCTGTGACATGATCCCTGTGTTCACAGGACCGTTTTTCACTCACCCTGAAACCTCTGGACTCCACAAAAGACATGAGGGGTTGGGTGGAAGAGCATTCAGATCTCTCTGGTGGGAAGTGGAAGGATGGAAGACCACTAACCTGCTCCCTTTCATTAGGTCAACTGGCCAAGCCCTGGGGAAAGCTGTGGGTCCTTGGGTCCTGACTTTCTTGATCTGAAAGAGCTCAGCACACAGCTCAGCAGAGCCCCAGACAACTCTAAAGAGGTACTTGCCATGGGCAGGCAGCTCCTAACTGCTGTGGATCAGCAACTAGACCAAAGCCCATAACCGGTGGGAGGCTGTTAGCAGATCTGCTTTCGAGACACATGGCAGGCTATCTGTGCAGAGATCAACTTCCACCCATCTGGGCATACCAGGGCCGACGCTGCACAGGCCTCAAGCCCTTTCAGCTCCCGTCCCCAGCCCTCAGCCCACAGCTTAACCCTCAGCCCTTAGTCCCCCAGATTCCAGCCCTCAACCCTCAGCCCTCAGCCTTCAGTCCCCAGCCTCCAGCCCTCAGCCCCCAGTCCCCAGCCCTCAGCCCCCAGCCTCCAGCCCTCAGCCCATAGCCCTCAGTCTTCAGCCTCCAGTGCCCAGCCCTCAGTCCTCAGCCCTCAGCTTAGCCCCTGACACCTCTCAAACCATTCAGGTCACTCACAGCCTGATAACAGCTCCAAACTGGCTCTGCTAAGAAACTGGATGCTTTGGTCTGACTCCGCAGATTGCAAAGCCCCACCTGGAGATGTTTCCTTTGAACTGCTCCATCCGGGAGAAGCATCATCCAACTTTGCCCTTCCCCGACACCATGCGATCCAGAGCCCCTGCTGAGCTTTCTGAGGGGAGCAGGCTCAGAACCCCAGCCTCTGGCTGAGTCCTGTACTCTAGGTGCCCCTGCAGGAAGGGCAAAAAGAGCCCATGCACAGGTGCTTTCTGAAAGGAGGACCTACAGCCACCAAGGTTGTCAGGGCACTTTGTTCTTTTACAGGGGAGGAAAGTTCTATAGGTCTGCTTAAACCCTCCTGGGGTTGCAGTGATGACTCTTCAGTTGCTAGCACATCTTGCCAGCAGTAGGACATCAATCCCTCCTCCCTTCAGCCTCTCTGGCTCCTGGGCCTTCAAGCCTGCTGCCCAAACACGCCAGAAAGTGTGGCTCTCTAGACAGTGATCTGCACCGAAAGCCAGCTCCACACAGTGTTGATGCATCCCCACCAGACACATGTACACTGAGGGCACGTGGGACACCTACCTACGCTGGTGATCTTCTGAGAACCGAGGTCCTGCAACAGAGCCTCAATGGCTGGGTTGTGTCTGGAATATAGTTCATATCGGTTGATGCCAATGTGGAATTTGAGCCAGTTGGGATAGAGGTCCACGGCTGCTTCTCCGGTGGGCAGGAATTCTGCACCCTGAGCATCTTCATGTGGCCTGAAAGGAACAAAGGCAGGTTATAGTCAATTGAAAAAGGAGAGATAAGAACCCAAGGAAGGCGAGGAGCTGGTCCCAAGGGTTGGGGCTTGGGGTTCAAAGTGCAGGTTTGCTGACAGCCACCTTCACACCACCATGTCTGCATTTTCCTCCTGGGCTGCGATTCCTTCACTTAATAATACACCTGAAGGCCTGTAATTCCTATTTACCCTAAGAGATGCTACAGACAACTGTAACTACCACTAGCTTAGACCAGAGCGTCAGCGTGATCCCAATACCCCTGTCCTGGGGTCACCAAAATGCCCCACAAGATTGATGTCAGTTGGAATTCTGTAGGATGGGGCTGTCAGTCCTTCCTGGGACCAGACAGCCTGGAAGTCACAAGCACACCCAGTCCACCAGAAACCTTCCCACCTTTCTGCCTTTGATCCAAAGACCATGGGCAGGAATGATGCAAGGGGCTAAACTGATTTTAATGAGTATGGCCATAGGTGGGGAGGACAGGACAAGGCAGTCAGTCACTCCAGCCCAGGCTCAATGAGAAGATCTGCTGCCTTCTTTCTCTGGTCATGAGAATGTTCAGAGGAAGAACAGACCCTCAGGGAACCAGGCAGGCTAGAGGGAAGAGAAACCTCTTAGTGGCACTTCACTGACAGGTGAGGCTCTTTGGACTATTCTACAATAGAAAGTGGAGTCCTCCATGAAGCCACACCCTGACCTCTTGCTCGGACTGAAGTTTCTGGTCAGAAAAGCCCAGAAGCCACCAAACAGCTTACACACAGGTACAGGCACAAGGCACAGGGCCCGATCACATTCCAGGGCACAAAGGATTTGAGAGGTTGTTTTGGAGTCCAGTGGCTTGCCCTCTGCTGCTTGGAGACCTTTGCAGGTTATTTGCTCTAGCCGCCTGGTGGTTAATATTTCACTGTGCTGGGCTTATTTGGATCTGTGTAGCTGGGGGAGGTCTGGGGGATGGGCACAAAGCTGGGCAGCTCAGAAGACACTCCAGGATGGCTCTTTTTCTTACCACAGCCAGCCAGGGCAGCCCTTGTTCACACCCTTACTGGGAGGTCTCCAGGCTGCCAGCACCATCCACAGCTGCCTTTGTCCCTGGTGACTGGTTTTAAAAAGACTTATTAGGTACATTCAGGCCTTCTGAAAGTGTCCACCCAGTACAGCTCACCCAGCAGTCTCGGAGCCGGCAGCCCAGCCCCTCCCCTGGGAAGACGGCTCCCACTCCCTCACTGCCTGGCTCTCCAATGCATTCATTCATCTGCTTCTCCAGCCCAGCCCGGGGCAGGGCTGGCCAGCATGCTTCCTAGTAGGTGGAGCACTAGACTCCCCTGGGTCCTGGTGTGCAGCCAGCCTCCCACACCAGGGCACTGGGAGCCTCCCAAACACCATCAACCCTTCTTCCCAGGAAGTCATTACTGAGACAAAGACAGGGCCCAGAGAGACAGAGGTGTATTTGCCCCGCCCACCAGGTGCCCCTCCCCAGCCTCTACCAAGGGTCCTCAACAATACACAAAATGCCTCGGATGTGAAATCGGGTTTTTTTTTGTTTTTTGTTTTTGTTTTTTTTTGGCGGGGGGACCGGGGTGCCTTTATTCTGGAAGGGTTGGACCCGCCAGCCCCACCTTAGCCCCTCAGTCCCTGCTCACCAGTCTGGGTTCTCTGCTGCCTTGGGGTTAAACCTGATGTCGCTGTTCACGTTAAACAGAACGTCGTCCTCGGTCAGGGGTGGCACAGTTCCCTGGTAAAGCGGGTGCTCAAACAGTCTGGCTAAGAGCGAGCTGTCCCTGCTGGGACCAGGGGGCGGAGCGGGCGGCCGGGGCCCAGGGTCTCGAAGCAGCGGCCGGTGCGCGTGGTCTCGGGGTGGCGGGGAGCCGGGCTCCTGACCCAGGCGTGGGGCGTGCTCCGGGGGCTCGGCGGCAGGCGGCAGTTTCTCCAGCGAATGGGACGTGAGGTTGGAGGCTGGGTCAGAGCTGAAGTCTTGCAGGATGCGTAGCGTGTGCTTGTTGGGCCAGCCTCCGTCGCCAGCGGCGGACTCCCCGGGGCGGCTCCGCGCCTCGGCCCAGCCCGGGGCCGCCGCCTCTGCCGCCGGCTGAGCGCAGGAGCATCCCGGCTCCCCGGAGGGTCGCGCGGCGCGCCGGTCCAGCTTGGGCAGCAGGTCCAGAGCTATGTGCAAGGCACAGGCCAGCAAGAACACCACGAGGATGAGCACGCGAAACCTGCGCACCAGGATCATCTTCATGGCCGCGCAGGCCAGCGGGATCGGGAGGGCTCAGGGCACGCGCTCCACCAGCGCCCCTCAGCTTGGCAACAAGCTGGCAACCACTGGCGGGTTAAGGTCCATTCGGCGTGCAAGCAGCTACCACCTCGGGGGCTGTCCCCTGACACGGACGACATGGAGGGCATCCGCCACCAAAGCACCGGCTCTCCAGGCCATCATCTCGGGGGCGGCCAGCGGCCCTCGTTAGTGGAGCTGGTGGCGCTGGTGGCTGGGGATGCAGGGGCGGGCGAGGGTCTCCTGGGTGACGGCCACACTCATTGGGGGTGTAGGGTGGCAGCGCCGCTGTCCATCCCGGCCGGGGCGCGGAGGGTCCAATCCGCCGCGGGGCCGGCGCGGGGCCACGTCGGGTGCTGGGCTGGTGACCGGGCGGTTGTTCCGCGCGGGGCTGGGCGCTGTCAGGCTGCGGCGGGGAGGCTGGGCTGCAGACAAGGGGCGCACGAGGGGGCGCGCGGAGCGGTGGCGGGGCCTGGCAGGTGCAGCGGGCCGACCCGGAGCGCAGCGCCCGCTCGGCAGAGCTCCCGGTACCCCGAGCTCGGTCGGCTGATATCTGAGCGCGGCGGGGCCGCCCCCCGCGGCCGCGCCCCCAGAATGGCGGGGCGGGGGGCCCCCGGGGGCCGGGCCGACCCGGAGCGCAGCGCCCGCTCGGCAGAGCTCCCGGTACCCCGAGCTCGGTCGGCTGATATCTGAGCGCGGCGGAGCCGCCCCCCGCGTCAGCGCCCGCAGATTGGCGGAGCTGCGGCCCCGCGAGGCCCGGCCGGCCCGGCGTTCGCTTGTTCGTTCGCTCGCGCTCTCTCCTCCCCTCGGCCGCGCCCCGCGGTGTCGCCGCGCCTCCTACACTGTAAGCAGCGAGCCTCGGAGGCCCGGTCGGGAACCGGCAGGCAGCGCGGGCTCCGGGCCCGGTCCACCGGTCTCTCGGCCTGTCGCCTCCCTCCCCGGAGCTCCGCGCGCAGCCAGCTGCAGCCTCCGGGCTCCTCCCCAGCGAGTGGTGGCCAGAAAGCCGGCCAAGTCCCACCCCGGGGCCCGCGGGGCGTCTGCGCGGCCGGATGAGTTTCCCTCCCGGCCGTCCCCGTGCACCTCGGTCCCTGCAGCCGGCTAGGTGGAGGACGGAGGGGCGACGCCGCCACGCCGTGGGGAGGTCGGCGAAGGGCGCGCCGGGCCCCAATCCGAGGGGACGCCCGAACCGCGGCGAGGCTGCCGGGCCCACCCCACCCAAAGGGACACGCCTGCGCCTTAACCCTGGCGGCGCCGCGCCCCAGCTGGCTCCGAGGCGGAGATGCGCGGGCGGTGGGCGGGGCGAGTCTCCCTGCCTGCCCTCTGGGGTGCTAAATCGGGGCGCACGCTCAGCCAAGAGCTGCCTCTACCACGTGGCCTCATTGCTGCCACCGGGCTTCTGGATCCCCAACCCCCGATAGGAAACAGGAATCCATCCTCAGACCCTGGGAAGGTAAGCGGGAGAGGGTCACACGGAGCCCCGCAGCCTGGGCAGACCTCCTGGCTTCAAGCACTTGCAGGTTTCCAGCTGCCTGCGTAGTGGGACCTGTGCGGTGGGGAGCCATTCTTTGTCAGGCTCTCCTGGCTGTGTTCCCTGGGCCTCTCAGAGCTCTCTCGGAGCCAGCTCTCTGTGAATGAAAAGCAACACGCCTTTACTCCTGAAGATTCACCCACTTTTGAGTCTGTGCCCTGTCGCCCGTTGGCCAGTTGGTACACACTAGCTGCTTGTTAGGGAAGAAGAGAGTCTAGGCCAGCAGGTCAGCAAAGGTGTCCTCTAGGCCATTTGGAAGCGTGAGGGTGGAGTTCCTTACTGCTGTAACAGGAGCTGGGGCAGGCTGAGCTGGACCGGGCAGAGGAGACCCAAGGGTGCAGTGGGGGTGGGGGGTGGTAAGTAGAAGGTGCCCTCAGGAACTACACCGTGGGAATGGAGACATTCCCCAACCATTCATCCTCCTTCCCGGTTACAGGGATAGTGAGTCTGTGTATAGACAGGTTTCAGAAAAGCCAAGGAGGTGGGTGTGAAGGAAGCCCTTCAACCTGGGATCACTAGAGAGACCTGGGGCTGACTGGTCTGAGGAATGGAAGCTTCAGTGTGACAGCCTCCCTAGGGCTGCCACTGGGTGGCTCCCTCAGGGAATTCCCAGCTCTTAGCTACCATAGAATAAAAATGTAGTACCAGGCAGTGGGCGCCTTCCTGCCTGCCTACTGTTTTCCAGCAACTCTGCTGTCTGCTGCACAGACTTCTCATTTGTCCTGTCTTTCCTCCCCTTAAATGTACTCCATTAAGAAGGACTCAGGTGACACCTTGCTCAAGGCCCAGGGAAAGCTCAGGAGACCAAATCAGAAAGGGTCTCTGAGGGTATAGTCCTCCCACAGAGGAGGGTGGGACATGCTGTCTGCATGGATACGCTGAGCTGAGGAGGGATTTAAACATAGACACACAGAGATGCACACGGATACACAGATATACACAGATACAAGATGCACATGGATACCCACAGATGCACAGAGGTACGCAAAGACACACAGAGATATATATAGACACGTATATACTTAGATACATGGAAACTCAGAGATACACACAGAGAAACACAGATATAGATGCAGATATACCACAGACATGGATATACACAGACACAGAGATACACAGGTACAGAGAAATACAGGTACATATACACAGAAGACACACAGAAACATACCCACAGACACACTGATATAGATACAAACACACAGAGATGACACACAGGGAAACACAGATACACACAGATGCAGACTCCCAGGTATACATAGGCACACATGGAGACAACACAAAAGGAAACACAGGCACAGACACACACAGTAACAAGGCGTAGATATAGACACAGAGGTACACAGATACACACAGAAGTACTAAGAAGTATTTCCACTTGGAAATTAGTATCACAAATAAAAACACATAATTTTTAGGTGATAAAAGAAACCGAAAGGGAAATTAGAGACTATTTAAAAATGCACACAGACGTGAACAGAACCTATTAAAATCCATAGGAAGCCACTGCAAAGGGACCCAGAGGAAAGCTGGTGGGAGGGTTGCATTTATACTCCTAATAAACACATTATCACTTCCAGATAATGACTCAAAATGAATGGACTGATAGTTCCACTTGAGAAAGGAGACAAAGAGCAATAAAGTAAGCCCAAATAAAGATGGGATGGAGCTACACAGAAAAGAGGGAAGAACACAAAGGAAAAGAAACAGTAGTGGGGTTGGTTAAAACAGTAGAGGCCTGGCAAGATGGCTTGGCAGGTAAAGGCACTTGCTGCCAAGCCTGAAGACCTGAGTTCGGTGCCAGGGATATACATGATGAAAGGAGAGAACTAAGTCCTGCAAGTTGTCCCCTGACCTCCTCACATGTTCCATGACATATAACATGTACACACACATATGCACACACTATTTTTCTTTTACATGTATGAATGTCTTTTCTTCATGTATGCAAGTGCACTCATGTCATGCAGTGCCCTCAGAGGTCATAAGAGAGCATTGGATTCCCCTGGAACTGGAGTTACAGGTGGTTGTTAGCTGCCATGTGGGTGCTGGGAACAAAACCCAGGTCTTCAGCAAGAGCAGACAATGCTCTTAACGACTGAGAGCCAGTGCTTTCCAGCCCCTCATCTTTTTTTAATGTAATAAAATAAAAATTAAGTAGAGACCAGTCAGGAGTGGTGGAACATGCCTGTAATCCCAGCTCCGGGGAGGTGGAGGCAAGAGGAGCAGGAGTTCAGGGTCATCATTGACTACATAGTGAGTTCCAGGCTAGTGTGGGCTACATGGGACTGTCTTAAAAAAGAGAAGAGGAAACAGACAGAGCTCCATTGTGCTGGATAGCTTTAGTGTCAACTGGACACATCTGGAAGGGAGCCTCAATTGGGGAATTTCCTGCATTGGACTGGCCTGTGGCCATGTCTCTGGGGTAATTTCTTGACTGTTGAGTGATGTGGGAGGACCCAGCTCACTGTGGGAGGTGTCATCCCTGGGCAGGTTGTTCTGTATTGTTTAAGAAAGCAGGTTGAACATGGACCAGGGGAACAAGCCAGTAAGCAGCATTCCTCTATGGCCTGTGCTCCAGCTCCTGCCCGCAGGTTCCTGCCCTGAGTTCCCACCTTGGGCTTCCTGATAAACTGTGACCCAGGAGATGTAAACCAAATAAACCCCTTTCTCCACAAGTTGGTATTTGTCAGAGTGTTTTTTCACAGCATTGGAGAACCAAACTAGAACATCCGTCACGTCTGGATTCTGTACCCAGCACAGATGGGGTCAGTTGGCTGGAAAGTGAGATGCCTCACTCACTTCACAGACCAAAGAGGATATCTGGTATCCAATCAGTCTAAAGAACTCTTGGTAACACCTAACACTCACTGCTGTTCAGAGCCTCAGAGAACTAGGAGCAGCAGGTCCACCTTGCTCTGGCTGAGACATCTGTAGGGCATGTCGGGGAGAGCTGTGGAAACACACACTGGACTCGATCCTCGTTCTTCAAGAAACTTCCCTGGCTCCTGAGGATCACTCCCAGCCCTTTAAAATTTTTTATTTTGAGACAGGTCTTTCTAGGTAACCCAGGATGGCCTTGAACTTGCATGGATCTTTCCGCCTCAGTTTTCAGAGTGCTGGGATGATGGGTGTGCTTCACCACACCCGGCTGCCAAGGCCACCTTTGCTGGATGGGACATGCTCCTAAGTGCCCAGTTCCCCTTGCACACAGATGGAGGCTCCCCATCTCCAAGGCCGAGTGCCCCTGAGGACTGCCGCTCCTGTGACTCTCCTAGTCCATTGTTCCTTAGCTAGTGATTTCCAGAGCCATGCTTGATAAAAGTCCTCTGAGGGCCTGCGCAGTGGTTAAGAGCATTATCTGCTCTCACAGAGGACCAGGTTCACTTCCGAGCACCCATATGGTGGTTCACAACAGTCCCTAACTCCAGTTCTAGGGGACCCTCTTCTGTCCTCCATGGGCATTGCATGCACACGATATACTTACATATATGCAGGTGAAGCATGCACATAAAAAATAAAAATAAATCAGAAAATGTGAACTCAATTTTCAAAACATGTCCCAAGCCAGCACCCCTCACCTTGCTGTCAGGGTCAACAGTGGCAGCTGCTGAGCAGGCTTCCTGGGTACTCATCTGGCTCCTACCATCACCTCTCCACACAGCCAGTTGTCCCACCAAGAAAAATTCACTTGCTCTCCTTGGAGTGAAGTTCAAGGCCTCCTCCCAAGCCCATGTAACCCCTGAGGAACAGATCCTAAATGACCTTAAGAGTAAAAATAAATTAGTTTATTTGGGACAACTGTATGGTCTTAAATATCCAAAAGGAAAGTATAACCAAAGAGTAAATCATCAGTGTATTTCTTTAAGAGTTCAAGGGATTACACTTCCCGGACATTAGACTTAAGTCCATATAAAATGTTTTTTAGACAATTATTTCTCATTGATGATTTTGTTTCTAACCAGAAAGTGCTGCTCAGATGTAAGACTTCAAATCTTGGTCTGCAATACTGTAGTGCCCACTTGTAGCGGAGGGAGACAATCCACTATTTTTTTAAAATGATGGATAAATTTGTTTTCTCCCCCCATCTAGAAGTCGTTGAGAGGGAACTGACACTGATTCTAGCCACTCCAACATCTATCAAAGTGTCTGAAAATAAATCCTGAGTCCATTATTCTCAAGTCCAGCCTTGGCAGACAAAAGAAAAATGAGGAGGAACCCAATAGAGGGATGCTTTTCGAAGCTCTCGTCAAGAAATCCCAATGGACTCTTATATGAACATTTGAAATTTGCCCTGTTCTGACTTTTTTCTAGTTCCCTGTCTAGAACTTGTAATACTAACTACTCTTGCCTTTACTTCTCCTTCACATCTCCTAGGCACCAGTCAAGGACTTTCTTTTCTTCCTACAGATAAGTGTTACGGAATTTAGGAGTCTTTTAGATAGACCCACGGAAAGAATACTCCAATTGCCTCACCCTGCGTCCCTGTTCAGCATGGAAGAAGCCAGAGTGGTCTGTGCCCTGATTCCCTATCAGCAATTTGGATAACCTCCTCAGAGGATGGTGTGATAAGAATAGGAGGTAGGAATTGGCTAGGCAGTTAGGGTAAAAAGACCCCAAAGAAAAGTAACCAATTTCTTGGCTAAAAGTCAAAATGTCCTTGAGCCTCTTAGCAACATACTGTGTTCCAAAGGCCAAAAATGTCAAAAGTGTTATGGAGCTCTTATCAACCCCTAA